TTTTTTTTAATCATAACAACAAATAAGGTAAGAAATGAAACCACTTCCATATATGTAGTCTGGAGATCACTGCGCTTTCCTGCACAATTATCCTGAATCTATGATTCTATGATTCTAATCTGTTATGGAATTAATGTTGATAAGAACAACAGTGTCCCCTGACCTACCTAACTACTCAGGAGATACAGAACCATGGGCAGCTTCAGACTAACTTCTTGCACCTCCAGGCAGCAGAGGCAGGGAAGCAGCCGGCACAAAGGACTGCTAAGGCAGGCATCCCTGTCAGAGCTGAAGCCATCAGCAGAGAACGGGCCACCGGCCCAGGAGCAAGAAGGAAGCAGGAATATCAGTGTAAGCACAGTTACGTAATTAATCACCAGGTTCCATGAACATCATCAGACAAGCAGATTGTGACTTTAGTAGAAATAACAGCTGGTCCAACTCTTGAGAAAATAAATTAATTGATCACTTTCACTGCAAAGTAATGATCAAAATCTCAAGGAAAATATGTTAGTTTCCATCTAGATTGATTCTGTAATATGTTTAATATGAAACATATGAATGTATATTTCATTCTCATTTCTGATTGTGGTTAAAGATTATAAAATGATTCCTAATGATTTAATCATTCTCCTGCAGCCATTAAGAGGTTTTAAGCTCTCACTCAGTATTTATTTAACTGACGACTGAAGATACAGCATTCAACTCACAGAATCACAGAATTGCAGTGGATGGAAGGGACCTCAAGAAATCACCGAGTACAACTCCCTGCCAAAGGAGATACACCACAACAGGCCACATAGGTAGGCATCGAGCCAGGTCCTGAATATCTCCATACAAAGAGACTCTACAAGCTCTCTGGGCAATCTGTTTCAGTGCTCTGTCACCCTTACCACAAAGAAGTTCTTCCACATGTTTGTACAGAACTTCCTATGTTCAAGTTTTAGGCCACTGCTCCTCGTCCTGTCGCTGCACACTGCCGATAAGAGCCTGGCCCCATCCAACTGCCTCCCATCTTTAGATATTCATAAACATTTTTCAGACTGCCCCTCAGTCTTCTTATCCCCAGGCTGAACAGACCAAGGTTACTCAGACTTTCCAAATATGGGAGATGCTCCAGGCCCTTCACCATCTTTGTGGCCCCTCCGCTGGTCTGCTTCTAGGAGATCCCTATCTTTTTTGAACTGGGGAGCTCAGAACTGGACACAGCATTCTAAATGTGGCCTCACCAGGGCAGAGTAGAGAAGGATTGCTTCTCTTAACCTACTGGCAACATTCTTTTTAGCCCACCCCAGGATCCCATTGGCCTTCTTGGCCACAAGGGCACACTGCTGGCTCATGCCAACCAGTCGCCCACCAAAACACCCAGCTCCTTCTCCACAAAGCCCTTCTCCAGTCAGTCACCCCCTGACCTGTATTAGAGCTCACGGTTCTTCTGTAATAACAATAACACAATTATCATTCTTTTTTGATTACTCCTGCCTTGATTTTCTTTAGAATATTTTGAAATTAATAGGTAATGCCCAAGTACAAGATTTTTTGAAAACAAAAGAAAAAAAAATAGCTATAGCTTGATTTATAATCAATAATTAAGGAATTTGAAAAAAAAAAAGATAATAGTGTAGATTTATTTGAGAATTCCCTGCATGTTGCTACTTTCCTGGAACCATCAATATGACAACTTCATTCACTTTAGAGCTGACAAATCAAAACTACACTCAAGTTTTAAGTGAGTGACATTCTGGTGGGTTAGCATAAGGCCAGAGATAGCGAAACGCCCTGCAGAACCACTCGGGATGTCTATGCAGAAAGGCATTCCCCACGTCCTCCAATGTGTGGGAGCTCCTCGTGGGTGAGGAATGTGAGCACAGAAAAGGTGTGGCATGGATGTGGGCACTGCTCCCAGCTGGGATCTGCTGCCTCTTGAAAGGGATAAGCCATCAGGCCAGGTCAGCTAAGACTAATTTCTTTGCCCACAACTCATGGGCGCTCTTTTCTGAAATAAAATGATACAGAATGGTCACTGTGCTTTGAGGTAATGAATACAAATATTTGCTAAGATAACTTTGGAATAAGCTACAGATATGTCTGGAAAAATCAGACCTCATAGATGACTGCATGAGTTTCGAACGGAATTTCTGTTGAACAGATAATTTGTATCTATACCAGATTTTTCATAAAAATATTCATTTTCGTAAATACAACTTAAGATTCTTTTTGTCGATTACAATGTAAAAAAGAAGGAATAACTGTGTAAGGACAATGATGAAGTAGCCTGTTGATAATAAATATTTGCCAGCTCTTGTCACATCTCTAAACATTCCACAGTTACTGAAGAGACACCACACTGATAGAAAAAATAAAAAAAAAAAATCAGAAAAATCAATGGGTTTTGAGCTAAAGCAGTTGCTAAACACACAGAAAACATCTTTATCCAACAGCCGTAGTGCTGTGAAAATTCCCAAGCCTTGCATTGGTACAGCTAAGGAAAATTTAATCTTCCCAAATACTCATCAGGGCACTCCATCCTGCAGACCTGACAGCCCCACTTATAATTAATTATACAATTTCGATGGGAATATCGACTAAACAAAGCTATAAATCATAGAAAAAGTCAATAGGCATGGACACATTCAATCATGTCCCGACCAATGATTACTACTCTTAAAATACAATAATTATTTTCAGGAGCCAGCTTGAATTAAATTTCTGTCAGGCTGGTACAAGACCGGCGGTTGATGAAGGATGCGATGGATTTTTTGGGTTGAATTCGGCACAGAGACATTTATCCTTTTAGATAGGTAGTTTGTTTTTAGTGATCATGGTGCTGTGTGTTTAACTAGACCATGAAGATTAGATTATCTCCAATGGCTCATTATATCGTTTATCTTTTCTTTCCATGTTTGATCTGGAAGATTTCCCCCTTCTTGATGCACAAATGAAATGACTGCTGATTTAGAAAGGGAATGTGCTTAAGTGGGATTCTGCTTATGCCTTTCCACACTGCGTTCACGTATGTAAAGCCAACCAGCAATCATCTGAAATGCCACTGAGGATATGGCAAATGGCAGCAACACGAACAGTTCTGCTCAGCTTCAAAAATGTACTGGGTAAAAAAAAAAACAAAACCAAAATTACAAACATTTTGAATTATTTAAAGAAAGCTAAAAGATAATAATAGTAAAAAATACAGAGAAAAATATATATTTATCTATGGTTTATGGATTAGTGTTACTTTGTATTAAAAGCTACTTCGTCACTAAAAAACCCAATTGCTACGTATTTCCCAATGATGTTTTCACCTTCTAATAGTTCTAAAACTACAGTAGTAGTTTTCTAGTAGTTCTAAAACTACAAGAAAAAAAAAAGAGAGAGGGAAAGAAACCAACAAAGTTTTCTCACAGTAACTGTGTTTTTAAGATTTCCTGCCTACACAGATATCTTCTGTGGTGATTATATGCCACAGCTGAAAGATGGGCCTTAGGTGGGGACAGCAGTCCCAGTAAGTAGGATGGATGCCAACAAGTGCTTAAATAAGGAACACCATTTTCTTAACGAGTCAGTCTCATCCAACTGCTCTGATCCAAGAAATGAGTGAGATCTTAGATTTTCATATGGGATTAATCATCTAGGTGTAAGTCAACTTTCAATCAGAGAGGGTGAGTAAAAGGGCTTCAGCTGTCTTCCTTGCCCTGTATCTCTGCAGACAGCCCTTCGAACAACCTGCTTCTCTATGAGCAGCAAAAAGATACATTGCAGGTAGAAGAAGAGAGAGAAGGGAGAGTCAAGAGTGCTGCGTACATCCCTTTGCTACACAAAACACAGCAACACACTGTGTCAGCGTGCACATTGTGAACTGGTACAGGCTGGCATACACCAGAAGTGGGGAACCCTCCATGGAGCTGAGACACAAAAGCCTAATCTTGTGTCTTCTTTCATTTTGATGTGTGGAAGGAAGATAAAATTCAAGCACCCTAGGAAAGGATTGGGAAGCTTGGCTAACTTGTCAGCCAGCACAAATTGCTTTGACACACACAGTCTCCACAAAACACTGAGTTGTCTGAAGGTTTTGCTTGTTTTGTATTGCCTGCCCTTCTGGAGTAGCTCAGAATATTCAACGTGTGAACGCCACTACTTTCTGCACATATAGGCAGACCTAGATATGAAAAAAAGAGCTTAATTCTTGAATCAGTGAAGGTGGGACAGTTTGCACAAGCAGAGTGCCAGGCCAACAAAATCCACAATAAGGCTCCATGTGCAGCATGTGCATTCCTGATCAGCATGCTGTCTGTACTTAACATTCTGTGTTTTCTATTCTGGATGTTTCATGTTTTTCCTTTACATACATAACCCCTAGGAACCTTTGATGAAATTGAGAATATTACAAGCAGCCGTATAGAGATTTTCCAAAGTGAAGTGGCTACATTTTAAAGTAAAATAACCTCAAAGATTATAAAAAAACATTATTTGCAGAAAGAATGCAGTCCTCGTTACACATCAAAAGGTTTGTGCTCCCTGTCTGCTTCCCCTTATTAAGCCCCATATAACTGCCTCAACAGTGCTGATCTGCCGCAGGGTTTGAGCCTTCTATTTCATTTTTGCACACATTCCAATACTCCTTCATATACTCATTCCGTATACTCAGAAGACACAGGTATTTTCATTAAAGGTTTTTGGTAAGTTTTCGGGAAATGCACAATGAAGAATCAGTAAAGAAACCGTATATCTGAAGAAATACGAAACAGAAGATAGATACAACATGGGAACCAGCATGAATTTCACTGAAATATTTTTTTCTATGGAAAAGAAGGTAAACAAACAGATACCAAATTTAAGAAGCTGTACTGTGGAAGAAAGTTGGAGCAGTGACCAAGCTGGATGAATTATCTCTTCTCATTCTGTAGACAGGAGGACTAACAAGGTAAGGGTTGGTAAGGGTTGATAGAAATGCAATTTTTACGTGAGTTTCCAACTTATTCCTTCAACAGTAAAGAACTTACCGCGGTGCCATTGTTATCTCTAAAAACATCTTGATTAAAATAGTCAAACAGCTTCTTTTCTAATTGTAGCATAACCTAAAAAAAATAGAGGAGAAAGGTCAGAAAAACTCAGGGACCCTTTTGGATACATGCAGCCCTTAATACAGCGCCTCTACGTGCCTAGAGCTGCTTGTCAGCTTGCCCATTTAGTTGACTGGCAATCAGTTAGAAAAATCCAATTAACTGAGCATTAGGTGTGACAATACGTATCCCTCCCCTCCCTTTAAATTAACAGTTTGAAACAACTATATTCGTGCTCTGCAGAAAAGAAAGTGAACATTCAACAACGCTTCTATTTACCCAGGAGGTACAGAGGGCATTACGTTGTTTACCTTTCGGTCATTATCGGATTCACGAAATATTAGCTTGACTACTTCATTTGTGTCAGCTGCCCGGACAGTCTGCATTGTAGCCTTCGCACATAGCGTCTAATAAGAAACACAAAGGGAGAAAGGAGAGCTCATTTAAATGAAAGGTAAGGCCATATCTTGCTGAATTTGATCAGTCTATGTATCTTCAAGGGCAGACCCAACACCCATCCGAAAGTATAATTTGCTGTAGGTCAGCAGACGAAGTACTACTAATTTAACTGATTTTCATTTATGATGGGTTTAAAACAAAAAACTGATATATTGTTTGGAGAGAGAGAGACAATACAAGACAGTATCAATGAAATAAAACATACTCATCTGGCTTACTGCTGCGCACACAGCTTCTGTCACAGGTCTGACACTGCATCACACGTGACTTGTGAACATTCTCAAAAGCCATTTCCTACAGCCAGTGACTCTATGGTACTACTTGTTTATGTACCATATTTTTAAAAGCTGATGAGTACCTTGGCACTACAGTTCCTGCAGCTTAACTCATTGGCCAAAACGTCTGCATTGTGAATGAGTGCCCCAAGAATAATTTAAAGATCTCAGGAACATTTAACAATCTGACAGTAACTTTCAAAGTTCATTCTGGATAGCAAATTGCACATGCACCATTGTTTTAAATAAGAGTATTTAGGTATTTTGAGGACTGTGTGTCTAACACGTACTATCAGTTAACACTTCCTTAGACTCGGGGTTTGAATCCCAGAGGCATCAGGCCCTGGCTCCTGTGTGACTGGCCAAGCTGTGGCCCAGCTGTAATGGCAAGGAAAGGGGACCCAGAGGGCTGGCTGCCTGTGGGGTGTGCTCTGCTCTGCTGTGACAGGTGAAAGCCTGGAACCTCAGCAAAGTAGTTAGGTGTGTATTTAACTTAAAAAGACACTTTAGATTCATAGAACCCCTATTTTTATAACAGCGTTAAGTGCTTTAAAATGCAGAGAGAGACTATATCATAACTGTGGGGTATGCAGGCTTCATTACATGAAGTTATCCACCATGGGCAACGCTACCAGATGGTGTGTGGTGCTTCTCTGACCCGTTTGTCTGGGCTGCTGGGAAGCTCAAGGCAGAAGACAAAAGGGGAGTTGTGTACATCTAATTGTTACTCAATGACAGACAGAAAATGGCCAAGGTGGGCACTTACTCGTGGGAAGCAGCCTGGTTTCCCTTGCCATAGTCTAGCCTCCAGCAGCTCATAGTATCTATGCACAGGATAAGGACACTGGTAAAGATGACCTTTCTGAATAAAGGATCATTTTGATAGAAGTTCTTACCAAGAGTGCACTCAAGAATTCAGTCAATGAGGAAACAGGTGCCTTCCCTACTCTGCCTCTTTCATTCTTTGTAATAATGGTCAGAGAACAGACTGTTATTTTGCAAAATATTCACTTATAAAATCAATACAATTTCTTTTAATGGGAAATTTCACATCCCACCACACACTTCTTTCTTACAAAAACATAAATACATACATTGTGATTCATTATTCCAAGCACAGTATCCATCAGACATCATATCTTGCTTACAGCAACAGCTTACTTCCCAGTTCCCTATTAAGAATTTATTTGAAAGAGATGTCAGGCACATATTTTTTAAAAAGTCCATATGCTTCCAAGCAATCCAGATCTCAGCTCAGGATTCCAGTGATAAGAGTGGAAACCGTATGAAAACTTTCTCATTTAGGAAAAAAAAAAAAAGAAGAAAAAAAAGGCATTAGAATGATCCTGTATAAAGGGGCCTACATGTTTTCACAGTATAAACAAAAAGGAAAAGTGGAGTGATTTCACTTTTAAAGGATAGTAACCTGGGTGTGATTCAGTAAGGATGAAATACACCTATCAGTTCTTTAACTCAGCTCCGCAAACTGAGCCAGTGCTGACCCCACCTCACCGAACACAGCACGTCCTCGCCTAGAAGGCTGCTTGCGATTGTTTCCCTCCCAGACAGGCACTCTGTGGACACGAACATCCAGCTCCAACTCCTATCACCCCAGATCTGCCGTGCCCACGTGCCCAGGCAGCCTACAGATGCGCGGCAAACGGCATCTTTCACTGGCGGACAGCGCGTGCGTCCCCTGAGCAAAGCCTTCCGCGCGCGGCAGAGCCCCGCAGCGCTCCTGGACGGTGCCGGAGGAGAGCACGGGGCCGGTGACACGGGGCCGGAGGAGAGCACGGGGCCGGTGACACGGGGCCGGAGGAGAGCACGGGGCCGGTGACGCGGTGCCGGCAGCACGCTGCGGGCTGCAAGCAACCGCACCGCTGCCATGCGGCTCCCCGCGCTGCTCCTCGTGCACCGCCGCGCTCTTCTCTCGCATCGCCGCCGTTTTTACCTTCGGCCCCGCTCTCTCCGTTTCTACACGTAATTAATGTTTTGCCATCTGCGTCCGCAGGCGGCTCCCGATGAGGTAATCCAGCAGCGAGCCATTCCCAACGCGCAGGCCCTTCGATACCGCCATTGAAATGCAGAGCACAGATTAGCTAATCGGGTCAAGACTAAAAAAAATAGCGCTTTGGGCTCATGTGTCACAAATCAGTCTGGTCGCCTTTAAACAGCGCACCAGATTAGAACAAGCACCCGAACAAACCAAAGCGGAAAACCCGCCGCTCTCTAAAGCCGGTTTCTAAAGCCCTAACAAATCGCTCCATCTTTCACTCATTTAAACTTTCCAAATGAGGGTCAATACGGTCCCCGAGCATCCAAATGCTAATGCGCTTAAGTGCCCTTAAGCAGCTTTCCAGAGTGAATGGGCCAAAGAAGGGCTCGAAAAGACAAGGCAGAGTTACTGTCACTGTCAAAAAGTCATTGTAGCCACCCCCGGAGTGGTTGCAATTCAAGAAATTCATGATTTCTGTCTCTTAAAGGCATCTGCTTGAGAACATTTTTTTTCTGAGCTGCTTTATCTCACAACTTCAGGCTTGCTCGAAAAGAAAAAAAAAAACAAACCCGCGATCGACTCTTGAGAACCAATAAAGAGAAAGGACCCACATATCTCATTGCTTTCAAATTTCACATGCACAAAAAGTTACCTTATTCCCGGACAAAAAGTGATTGGGCAAAGGTTCATTTCTTATACAAGCCGGAGCATTCCTTTTTTCCTCCTCCTTTCAGTTTCTACAAAGTCGTAGTCACCCAAGCAGAAAACTCGGGGGAACATGCGCCTTTTGAGACAGGGCTACTTATGAAGGGACGTTTTGTTGCCGGTAAAGAAAACCAAAATGCGATGAAAACACGGAGTTTCTTTTTTGGGTGTTCCTTCAAAGGTGCTCTTTTGCAAAGTTAGAATACAGGGAAATCAGACATCAAAACCCCTCTACGCGAGTGATCTTTTTTTTCTTTCTTTTAAATCATTATTATTTTTTAAAACAAAATTTGGAGAAAGAGGTGCCCGCACTCAGCTCTGGTTCGCAGACACAGCCGGCTCTGCCCACAGCTCTCATGCACAGCCCGTGCAGGCCGAGGTCTGACAGCATTTTAAAAATAATCCTTGGCAATAATTGGTCTGCCTCGAGCTGTAAAACACAGCCATCCCACTTCTGATAACTGCCTTAGAACATAACCAATATGTACAATCAGAAAAAGTCAGGAAAGAAAGGTTTTAGTACTGACAGCAACTAATCTACAATTCTGTCTAAATTCTGCAGCCTGTTACAGTATAAGCCTTCAGCATCTACTGCTGCATTCACACACCACGTGAAAATGTTCAAGGCTGTATTTCTGCATATTTACATTCTCAAGAGATAAAGACATTAAAGCACAATTAAATACACTACACGTACACACACTATTCTGTTATTCATCGCTTATGATGCAACTGCATTTTATATTGTGTGTGCACGGAACGCTGAGCAGCTGTGAAGCACAGCGCTGCTCCCCGTGAGCTGCGCAGTGCTGAGAAGGGCAGCTGATGTCCCACCCCGCAGCCCTGCTGTCCCAGGTCCGCCTCTGGGCACCGCGCACCTGTAACCACCCCAGAAACAGAAAAGGAGCCATCCAAGCACATTCTGACCTCAACTTCACAATTGCCTTTGCCTCCTGAATCTAGAGATGCGTGCTGTTTTTCCTGATGGCTTGAACACTCTTCCAGAACTTACTACTTTGAAGTCTTATTAAAAAGTAGAACATACATTTTTCCTGTGTAACAAAGCAGCTCAGCAATTGTCACAGTCGCAATTTCTAGTAAGCTTCATGGCTCAACACGTCTTTCTTGCTAAAAAGTAACAAGAGAGAAGAGGTGTCTGAAGGCCGAACTGAGCCAGTTAAGTCCTGAACACAAGAGAACCAAACCCAGAACATCTAAAATACTCCGGGCACTCTGGCAAGATGGAAAAGACAGAGGAAAATGTATAATCTATTACAAAAGTGAAATGCTGCTGAAAAAGTAACATCAACCTGGTACTTATTAAATTAGGATAATCAAATGCTTTTTTAATTATTATCTGGATGCAAACTGTATTTGAAACAAACACTGAGGTAAAAGACGCACAACTTGTGTAACAACAGGAACATCTGTCTATCTGGGCTCCTCCTCCTCTGGGGAGGGTGGATGTGATTCCTGGGGTATTGGAAAAACGCCCCGGAAATTTTGTGAAGTAAATTCATCAGGTCATGTGGTTATAGTTAAAAAAGAGAATTACAACTTCCAGGTGTTAAATATGCCTTTCTCAGTCAATGGAAGATATGGAGTCTGCTGCAGGACAGTTATCGCTGTACTCTTTAAACTCTGCCTTTGGAGACCTGCTGCAGGACACTCCAGAACCACACAGAGGCCCTCACCCACGCCCTGCAGTAAGAAGGGCAATTACACAGCTAAATTCACTGGTGCACAATGATAAAATCCCATTTAAGTGAACTGACAGTTGTTTCTATGAGAAAAAAATATCCCTTCGACTGTAGTTTTACTCGTATTAATACGAACTATACAGAAATATCAACAGCGTCTCAAAGTTTCTACGCTTTTTACATGGATAAGCTTCCAGGAGCAGAAATTTTACTCAGCACTGAGACACACATTTGCTGAATAAAGGACAGATACGAAGAAGTATTAATGAGAA